AACAATTTCGTCGTAAAAGGGCAGAGTGGGATCAAATCTTAGACGAGCAGGACCGGATGGATTGGGATCAATGGTTGACCAGCCTCAGTAGGCTAGATGAGATACGGATCCCGCGCCGACTCAGCCGGAGCAGTCAAGCGACGAAGGCCGAACTGCACCTATTCTCCGACGCGTCTGAAATGGGATACGAAGCAGTAGCCCACGTATGTTGGCAGCACGTGAACGGTGAGCGCAAGACAGAATTACATTTTGCCAAAGCCCGGGTCGTCCCATTAAAATGCGTTTCGATACCGCGCCTTGAACTGAATGCGGCCGTGCTAACGGTGTGTATAGCTAAGCAGTTGCGACAGTGCTTCCGTATATTCGAAGATGGCGTCACGTTCTGGACCAACTCTGCCATTGTACTACACTTTGTGAACAACGTCATCACTAGGTTCAGCACCTTCGTTTCCAATCGACTAACGGAAGTGCACGAAGATACCAAAGTGCACCAATGGCGGTACGTGAAATCTGCGGATAACCCAGCCGACCACTGCTCTCGAGGCTTGAAATCATTGGACAAGCTACGCGATTGGCTCAGCGGCCCAACAATGCTGACCGCCCCGTCAAAGGGCGAGAGTACAGTGCTTGCACCCCCCGCGCCAATTTGGTTGATAGAAGCTAAAAAGATAATCATGATGGTAGAACGCTACGTCATCTCCCCCCCCCCTGATAAGGAAATTGGGAAGTTTCTCGTTCTGGAGCAGATCGATTCGTTCCGTCTCTTGGTGGATAAGGTTTAAACAGATGGTGATGATCATGACCAAATTTCAGCCTGGCGAATGGCTGCGTGTAGGACTTTTATCGACGGACGACCTAATGGAGCGGAGCACAACGTTGTGGGATTAGTACAACTACAGCATGTTACCCTCGAAACAATGACGTTACAAGTGAATGCAAGGAAGAATCCTAAACGGACTGCAATCCCACGGAGCGCGCTGCGTAGGCTGAACCCTATATTGGTCAACTGGTTGCTACGCGTGGGAGAGAGAATGGACAATTCTTTCTTGGCATTCGACGCTAGACGTCCAATCATTCTGCCTCCTTCACGTAAAAAACGGGCACTTGGGAACTAACCACCTACTAAACACCATTCAGGAGAGATTTTGGATAACACGCGGTAGAACAGCAATAAAGAGGATCATCGGTAGATGTATGTTCTACAGCCGTCAAAATGCGGTAAACGGAATGCAGCTGATGGCACCTCTACCCAAATTCAAGGTGGCCGTTCGCAGAGACGGGAATGGATTATTTCGGCTCCCTGCTGGTGAAGTGCGGGAGATCGGTGGCGAAGCGGTACAAGTGTCTGTTTACCCGCATGTAGTCTCGGGCGGTGCATTTAGGGATGGTACACAGTATGTCTACTGAATCGTTCCTGATGGCGCTCCAAAGGCTGATTAGCAAACGCGGAGTCCCGAACAACATACTCCGACAACGGTTCAGACTTCGTGGGCGCTTCGAACGAGCTACAAAGGTGGCTGTCCCGAGTCGACCAGAGCGAACTACATAAGCGACTAACCTCCGAAACTATCCAGTAGCACTTCAACTAGTCGTACGCTAGCCATAGATGCTCGGTTTTGGAGCGGCTGATAAGGTCGGCGAGAAGGATCCTATCGGTTGTATGTAATCAACAGTCCATCGACCATGAGACCCTGAACATGGCCCTAATTGAGATCGAGCGCATATTGAACAATAGGCGCTTGACACCAATCGCGAGTGAAGCCCCGGGTTTCACGCTTACGCCGAACGACTTGATACATTTGAGACCGAATCATGGACTGGCGACACCACGAACTATCACGAAATATTAGTCGAGCAGCTGGGGACAGACCACCTACCTAGCGGGAGTTTTCTGGAAGCGGTGGGTCCGAGAGTACTTACTACCCTACATGCACGCCAAAAATGGATACTCAGAGAAAGATGTTTGTTGGAAACCCGTTGGATCATTCGTTTTGTTGACGTTTCGGGATCCGAATTCGGCTGTGCACTACTCGTTGATCTCTTCGGGAGGCACAGTTTTTTTTCCGGGTTCCTGTTCTAGCATCAGGCTTGATGGTCCTATTATCTACCCTACATGAGACGGACATTTCAACAGTTATGTAACAGCAACTATCGCATCATCTTCTGCAGAACGAATGACGCCACGCGGTACTCCAAATCATTTATTCAAATATCAGTTGGGGACATTCCGTCTGAAATCCTTGCCGAAAACGACAAGAAATCGTTGGGCGAAGGGCGCGCGGTGCGACGGTTTTCAACAGCCACTGCTTTTCTAATTCCATTATTTTCCTTTGGTTATATCTTTTTGTTTTGTGAACTCAACATTTGACAGTTGTTTCACCCGGCCTTCTCATAACCCGCTCGTTTTCTTTGCGGTCTCGCTCAGTGATTTCCTCTGTTGTTTGTCGTTCTGTAACTGGGACCTACAGCGGTTTCATAAGTCGCAAATATGTACTGATATATACCTATAGCAGAAACGAAATTTCAAGTGTGATTCAACTGATGAAAATTTGGTCCGTCGAAATCGAGACATTGCGATTCTTATCGAACGTTGTTTGGATTGTCACTGCAACAGACATTATAAGCCCTAACCAAACGAATCCTACTAAAGATTGATTCACCCTTAAGACTAGCTGTTAATTCGTGGATGTGTGGGATCGGATAGCGATCCGGGATGGTGGATCTATTGAGTTCACGGTAATCCCCGCATGAACGCTATTCTCCTATGGCCTTCTTATGCACCATATGGAGTGGCGAGCCCCGCTGGCTTTGTGAAGGGCGTATAATACCCGCTTTAAACATTACGTCGAACTCTCAACTTGGCTGAAGCTAAATGACGTGCGCGGCAATGTAAGGGTGGGCCGCGAGTGCCGATCGTATGGGTAACCGATGTGGTGCCCCGTGCAAAATTGTAGGAATTGGTTGAGAACAACCTTCTAACAAACGCTGCAACCTAAAATGTTCATCGTTGTTTAAGACATGGCTTATTGCCACATCGTCAATTGCTCAACCTTTGACCGAGTTGGTGCTGTTGAGGAGGCATTTGGCTGTGTCGATAGTGAGGCCGTGATGTGCTGGAAAATCCATTCCAAGAATAGGAAAAGGGACTTCGGTAATCAAGAATGACCATTCAACTGCTTTAGACAAGTTAAAATCCACGGTGAGGTTCCTGGTACCAAATGTACGCATTGTGGAACCGTTAATCGCAGTAAAATTCAGTGCTTGAGCTGGGAGTCGAGCTTCAGTGGAGGAAGGAGAAAGGACGCTCACTTCCGGACCGGTGTCCACTAGAAAGTACACACCACTAATGGAGTCCTTAACCTGGAAAAGGCGGCTCCTAGATCGTGTGCCAACGAATGACGCCCTAATCACTCGTCGGCTTATTCTTTTCCCGAAACGGCTTGACCTTTCCACGAGCATGGGTGGATGCATTTGGCAGCATCTTTACCAAAACTTGCGTGGTACCAACAATACTTCTGACCATTGCTTGGCGACTTAGATCTACAGTAACTGCTGGATTGCTGCTTTCCACTAAAGCGTGCGCCTCTAGATTTTCTATTCGTGCTGAAGCCGTTTAGTTTTTCGATGAAGCCTGGAAAAGGCCGTCGACAGATGTGGCTGGGGAGATAGCGGGAATAGCCGAAGCGATCGTGGGNNCATGGCATGATCTACCATAAACGTCGAACGCTCAATGGGCATATCTTGCGCTGGCCCAGGAGGGAGTTAAACGTCTTGAGGTAACTTTTATAACCACAGTTTCTGAACAAATGCGCCCACGTGTGGGATGTTGCCCATTTCATTGCACATGACCCTCGAAAGTTGTGAAGGCTCAAGGTCGCCCAAAGGCATGTCCTGTATTACGCGTCGGATTCGATGTTTGTTAGAGCTTCCCCTGCATTCTTGTATGGCGTCCCGTAGGACTTCGAAAGGTTCATCTTCGGGAGGGTCTAGAACTACATCCAAAACCCCGGCTACTAGGTGTTCAGGCAACGAAGAAACGACGTGGGAGAACTTGGTCTTTAAAGACCTGATGTTCCTAGTCGCACACTGTGATTCGAGGACCGCAGTCCAAGTCTTAGGGTTAGACGCTCAAAAAAGGGGGTTGGAAAGTGGCGTCCACCACGGGAGAACGTTCGTCGGATAAATCTAACAAATCCATAACGAAAAGAAAAACACTGAATAATCCTACATAAAATATGCAATCCCAAATAACTCTATCAAAAATTGTGAAGTTCAAATAGCAATAACGGTAAAGTAAAAATACCTCAAAAACCGCTAAAATTTTCCGAACGAGTAGAAAATGATACAACAGTCAAAAAGACTGAAACATCCTCTCAATTACCTTGCATTTCCTTATCTTTATTCGTTATTTTATCGTGTATTCTTTCTGATAGTTGTTTTTATGTCGGTAAATTTTCCATTCTGAACCTTCTATTTCACCTTTTTAGGGCACAGCATATTTATTGGGCACACGCCTCAAGTGCTTTGTACTTATATGTAAATGGGATTTCGTGCTTTTTCTTATTTTATTACGACAAAAGTTTCTATTGGACGCTCTTTGTTGGACTTACCGTTGCTTTCGGTTATATTGAAATCCTTTTTACTGTAACGCTATGCGTTGCTCTGAGGTTTGATCATTGCTATCCAGAACGAGCGCAGGGGCACTTGATTGAACGCATACAGACGAGGTGTTTTTCGTTTTGCTTGGACCAGGACCACCTCACCTTGGTGATTAGAAATGGTTCAAACATTCCAAAGATATGAAACGGACTCACCGAAATCTGATGGTTCCCTAAAATGAACTGTGACAATTGTATGTGGGACTGGGCGGTTGCTGATGTTCGTCAGAACTTGTCACTATTTTTGCTCGTGTTCCTTCTGGATATCCGTCCCAAGGAGAAACAAAACCAAGGATTGGGATTGTACAAATGATATATTTTGAAAATTGCAAAATGTTGCAGGTAAGTTTGGCTAGGCCTAGGCTGTTATTTAAGCAACAACAGCGAAAATTTGAAAGTAGATCTGATCAACGCAAGGAAAGCGTGCGATAAAGAGCTCACCGTGGGGACTTGTGTCGGCGTTGTCTTTTCGAGCTCATTAAAAGCACGATAATAGTAAAAGGAAAACTTAATTCTTGAAGTGTCCAAGTTACTATATCCAATGAAGAAACTTCCTCTAGAAGATCGATATCGCCAAATAATGGCGGTAAGTGCTAAATATCGACGGTACACTTGATTGTGCCCGGTAGAGTAAAAGGGTCCTTATGTTAGAAGGAAAAGATTAACGATGGTCTAGCTAATGTAATTATTCTACCTGATAGATAGACTAACTGGACACTTGATATCTGAACCTTGATGTTTTTGATAAGTATGTCATGGTTATGTAACCGTCCTAATAGTCCTCACTTATACAAGATTGGTCGAAGGCTGAACTTGTCCTGATGCTAGTCACCAGCGTAGGGTGGAGGTGCTACTGGTCCATGATTTGACGATCACCTCCAGCTTGAATGGATCTGCCAGGAAACTAAGAGGCAAGAAGAGGAAACTGTCGGTTGAAGAACCGCTGCAGGCCCATAGCGTTTGTTCGGTTGCGGTGGGGTGGGAAGAATACCATTACGGGGTGATGGATTCTATGACGAACCGACGTGCAGGATACATCCACATCCTCAGGGTTTCGGGAATTCCAATTTATGAACAATGCAGTCTGAAGCATTTTCAGAAAGGATGAACGCCACTCATTCCATCCGTCTTGTGGTCCATCCGTTTGTGGTACGCCACGCCTCCAGTGTATACGCAGAACGGAGTGATCATTTGATGCAATTGGTGAAAGGAGGTCAATCCTGGTCGTGTCTGATTGTCTCGGCGAAAACAACAAGTTAAGGATGGAGTTTTGCTCCCCAACTATCCGCATGGGCACATAAACATGCTGAACAAGCGAGACAGCCCGGACAGCGAAAGGAAGTTCTCTGGAAAACATCCTCAGATATCAGTTTCCCAATCAATATGTTGCACATTGAAATCATCCAGGACAAGACAATACCCATCGCAGGCGTACCTCTGCATGCTGGTCAACAGCTGCGGGGTGTATACAGCCGGTATGCGGTAGATCACTCCAAATGTGGTATACCCTCCGGCACAAAGCTTGATTCTGCACCATAAGGCTTCTCCAAATCCTTCCGGATGGACGTTGTTCGCCAGCTCTCGGACATGGAAACTTGGGCGGACAAAAACAACAACTTTACCACCGCGACGTGACGATGATCGATCCGTTCGAAACACTGTGTAAACGTGGAGTGATGCTTCAGAGTCCCGGACATCAGATTTCAGCCAGGTCTCAGTGACTGCGAAAAGATCGGGATTGTGGAATACAACCCCGTCCTCCAAATCAGCCTTTTTTTCCCAGCATCCCTCGGATATTGGTTGAGGCTAGCACAGCGTGGTTACCTCGCCATTCACGCCTCGACCTTCCCCTCGTCCGTGGTTAAACAGTGGCCTGGGTCCTCCCTCTAACCAAGGGTCACCAACGCAGCTGAGGGCTCTTCCGATGCGCACTAAAATCCCGTATACACAGATACTATTATTAACAATGACGGTATATTTCACGAAGCCCGCGAAGCATGCTAGTGCGCATGATCAAACAATATGAAACGTGATTAGTGGAGACCAAACAGTAATAGTTCAAAGAGTGTAGGAAGACAGTTTTGGAACAGGTACGTTCAAAACGAAACAAAAAGCGGACAAGGTCATAAAATGGAGTATTGGAGGTGATCTGTTATGTAATGCACGTCATGGTGAACGTATGTCTTATGACCAGTAATGGCAAGGCAGAACATTGGGAGTTGTAATATCTACTCGGGATAAAATGCGCGGAAACGAGTTCAAAGATAAGAAACAGAATAACGACGAAGAAAGATTCATAATTTCAGAGACAGAGCTGCAAACGAGCTTAAGGGAGAGTACAGTTATTCAAGAAGAGACGACAGATGGCTTATAAATAAACTGTTTCCTAGGTCTTGCAGTGATTCACGGGTTCGAGGCTGTTGCCCAAATGTCCCGGGTTCTCGGAAGGTATCTGTGTTTTCTTTTGCCTTGAATTACTTCTAGAACAGAGAGTACTGAAAAGAGATACAGTTGGAAGGACTTCTGTTATCACTGAATATTGAACTTTGGGGCTTCACTGGTAACGGATTGATTGGTTTTATTTATATTATTGAGACGTTGGTCGCTTTGATGTGGGACTGACTACACACTAGACACCTAACCTAAAAATACCTTGTTGGCGAGGCGAGGGTGTGATCCTCAACCTGGTCTTGGGTGCGGATACATGTAGTCTAAACGGTGGATACAACCGCGCCCAACAATCATTGCCGAAGCCAGATTGTCCATTGTGGGTGTAGACCCCAAGCCTTCGGCAGGCCCAAGCCAACCGAATTTGGGACAAAAAGGGCGAAACTCGCAGTCGGGGTTAATGCCCAGCTGAGAAGGGAAGAAGGAAACAGCATGTTGCTAGAGAATATACGTAGCGCGTAAGTGCCCGAANAATGTATATATATTGATATATGTATTTAAAATAAAGTGCGCACACAAAATAACGCAGGTTAAAAGGATGAAGCGAATCGCAGGAAAGAAATATGATTTCAAGAATTGAGGTTGACAAGTCTAATGTTTGTTCTCTCCCGAAAGGTTTGGGTTTCACAGATCTAGCTTAGACGCCCCGACGAGTGAAGAAATTAGAGAGGAGTTGATAGGTGAACACTAATGCCACGTCAGACTGTGCCACGGGGAAGAGATAGCTCGAAGGGATCAACATGGGATCAACATAGTAATAATGGAGGAGTTTAACGCACATAAAGTAAACTGTCAGGACGAATGGGCTCCTCCAATATCTTTCGGGAGTCGCCGGATTGCGTTCCTATGGGAACGAGACCTAATTCTACATGTGCTGCAGCCCAAGAGATGCAGGGCCGGATGCACAGCAGGAATGCTTGACTTGGTCATAACCAAGTGCCGAAACGATGTAAGAAACCTGGTACTGAGATCTCCAATTGGTCGCAGCGGCCTCGTAGTAATACTCTTCGATGTACCATCTACGCCAGACAACCCACATGGTGAGACACGACGGTCCTTTAAAATAATAATCATTCAAGATTTGCAGGACAGCGTCGCCACCTTAAGCTGGGGAGAAAGCATAATCGGTACACTGGTCGAGCTTCAAGTCTTCATCAGTGGAACACGAACTTGTCGGTTGAAAACCTACACTAGGTTTATCATCTATAGCCCTTGATGATCAAGGTTCGTCCCTTCATGTCAACCCTCCGATCGATCCTTATCTGCGTGACCTACTGACAGTTTAACAGTCTCCACTTTGGTTGTTGCGATCTGTCTTGGGTGCGTCCTTTTCTATTACATGTATGTATATATATTTATATATTTTCGGGCCGTTGCCCATTCCGTATATTCTTTCATGACATGCTTTGTTCCCCCTCATCCCTTCTCTGCTGGGTTCTACTCCAGCGCACGTTCCTTTTAAATATATATACTTTCGGGCACTTACGCGCTACGTATATTCTCTAGCAACATGCTGTTTCCTTCTTCCCTTCTCAGCTGGGCATTAACCCCGACTGCGAGTTTCGCCCTTTTTGTCCCAAATTCGGTTGGCTTGGGCCTGCCGAAGGCTTGGGGTCTACACCCACAATGGACAATCTGGCTTCGGCAATGATTGTTGGGCGCGGTTGTATCCACCGTTTAGACTACATGTATCCGCACCCAAGACCAGGTTGAGGATCACACCCTCGCCTCGCCAACAAGGTATTTTTAGGTTAGGTGTCTAGTGTGTAGTCAGTCCCACATCAAAGCGACCAACGTCTCAATAATATAAATAAAACCAATCAATCCGTTACCGGTGAAGCCTCGAAGCCCATTGTTCCATGTTCATAGAAGCATTTCCTGCTGTATCGACATTGAAAACTTTTTATTTATAAGCCATTTGACGTCCCTTCCTGAATCACTCCGCTATTCTCCAGCTCGCTTGCAGCGCTTCTTCCGAAATTAATAATGTTTCCTCTTCACTATACACCTCTTCTACTCGTTTCCGCTCATTTTCTCTTGAACGGATATACCAATTTCCTTTTGTCTTGCCAAATGTTTTTCATAAGACAAGCGTTATATTGATTTACTCTGCACAGCACCACCCCCAGTGCTCCGTCATATGCCTTTGTCCGCTTTGTGTTTCGTTTTTCACCGTATTGCACTTTTACGTAATCTTTGGTACCCGTTTGAAAACTACGTTTTTACACTCTGTACTATTACTTTTTTCCACTGTCATTTTTACATTTTCGCACATTTGCTCATGCACACAAGCAAGCTTCACAGGCTTCGTGAAATATACCATTATTATTATTATCACAGTTGGGGATATGTGAGGAGTTATAAGGGGCAACATTACTGAACGTACGCAAGAAGTTGATTCATTGCGGAAAACCCGAAGGCGAGGAAAAACCCCGTGGTGGAAGAGTGGAGTGGCAAGGCCCAACGACGGAAACAAGCTGCATGGGCACGTTTCAGAAGAACAGGAGGCCATATAAGACTTCGACAATACTGTTACTGAAGCTTCACTGAGGGTTCAGCGAGCATGTCGGTTGAGGTATGAAGAGTGTGTCGCACTTAAGGCCAAAACATGCCCGAAGGCGTACTACAACTACGTCTAGTCTAAGGCTGCCCTGATCTCAGCAGTAGGCTGTTTGAGAGATGAAAACGGGCAGCAAGCTGAGATCCTAAAAAGGTTCTTTTGTAGGAACTAGGTTATTGGTATCCCGGGCTAATACGTATAGGTCGCAAACGTACGTTCGTACGAGGCGATTCACGAAACGGAGGACGACGTGTATTATAAAGACCTGCAGAGCAAGAGAGAGATACAGAGGGGTGAGCAAGCGTGCGGAAAGTGAAAGCAAACACGTGCTGACCGAAGAGGTGGCCTTGGTGTGATAAAACAATGAGATGCACATGGGGAAATGTACACTGAGAACGGGATGTGATTGGTTACTTCACTTTGAGGAGGTGCATCAAGCGGATGGAGGATCTAGACCAGTCCTCCAAACTGCTCGGGTTCCGTTGATGGCAGAGCCACTCTTTCACCCGGAGGAAATAGAGCTCGTGCTGAGGGGATTGCAAGGGTATAAGTCTGCAGGGTCGGACGGCATCCACCCGGCGATTATGAAGCCGCAATTAATCGTCTTGAGTGACCCGCTTGCGAAACTGTTCAGTCTGTCAATTGAGAGTGCAACTGTGCCGGAAGACTGGAAAGTGTTTGGATTAGTCCCAATACATAACGGGGGCTGCACGGAGGAACTGACAAACTATAGACCAGTCAGCCTCACACCGGTCTGACTGAAGGTAATGTAAGAATATTGAGGGATTGGATGGCGCAGCACCTCGTGACTCACGATTTGCTATCGCCCAAGCAACATGGCTTTGTTAAGGGAAGTCGTGTTTGACGAACCTACTAGCATTTCTTGACGAGGTTGCGGCCAGGCTCGATAGAGGACATGGCGTCGAAGTATGCTACCTTGACTTTCAGAAAACATTTGACGCCGTCAACCATCGTCTTCTGGTGCGAAAAATACAAGCACTCGGCTTTAGCCCCGGCATCGTTAAGTGGCTCGACGAATACCTCCATGGGAGAACCTTCTACATTGGAGTAGAGGGGGCAAGGTCGGGTAGAGCAGCAGTGTACAGTGACGTCCTCCAGGAATCAGTACTAGGGCCGCTACTTTTGATCATCTACATCAATGATCTGCCCCGAGAAGTGGTAGGACCGTGTTTTGTGTTTTCGGACGATGTTAAACTAGTTGGGGACCCCACCTCAGCGCAAACGCAACAAGACCAAGATCGTCTGCAAAAGTAGGCGATGGAATGGGAGCTTCCCCTGAACACCAATAAGTGCAGAAAGCTTCTATTCAAGGGAGACCAGCCACCGTCAACTAACAGGCTACTGAACCTGGATAATCCTCACGATATAATCCAAACAGAGCAGACGAGAGATCTGGGAGTGCTTATACACGTGACCTGCAAACCGGCCAAGCAGTGCCTCTTAGCGGCGACCAAGGCAAACAGAGCACCACACCAGTTACTGAGAACGGTGGCCTGAAGAGACAGATTAGTCCTTCNCCCGCTCTACAAATCGTTTGTGAGGCCGCACTTAGAATACTGTGTGTAAGTCTGGACGCCATCCGTAGTGAAGGATACTAGAGAAGGTACAAAGGAGGTTCAGAAGGCGAATCCGGGGTTGGAGGGGTTGGACTACCACGGGAGGCTAAGAGAACTTAACCTGTTCTCTTTGGTCAGAAGAAGATGAAGGGGGGATCTCATAGACGCTTTCAAGCAACTAAAGGGTCTATTCAGTACAGGAACTTAGCTGCTATCCAGGAATAATAACCTCACATTGCACGGAAACGGAATGGAAAACTGAGAGCACTAAGAGGCATCCCGGCGAATTTCTTCGCTCATAGGGTTATAAACCCTTCGAACAAGTTACCAGCCACGGTTGTTTCAGCAGCGTCAGCTGAGGAGTTCAAGGGTGGCCTAGATGCAATGCGGATGAAACTTTTTCTGGAAGCTGTATAAAAGGGACGAAACAAGACAAATGGTGTAGGCATACATGCAATCCGTGTGTATTCACCTGTGTGTACCAGAAAGGATCTAAATTTCCCTGGTGGATAGACAGTAGACTACTTGGCTTCGGGGACGATTAGGGAGGCTGGTACACGTTTTCATCCAAAGGATTTTGTCACATCCCAAACCGAGAGAGATAGGCGGCAACGATTTCTAGGGTCGGTACAGTAAGACGCACCCTAAATCATACGAGTAGCAGGAGTAAATGGTGGCGCTCAGTCACAAACCAACCCTGCAAGCAGGGGGGAGTGAACAGCAATGGCATCCTCTATGCTGCCCCAAAAGAAACGGACACATGTTTTTACGTTACATCTGATGGTCATAATACCATAAACCCTGAGCGCGAAGCCAACGGAGTAACGTTTTCCCCACCCAGCTAAATAGTGTACCGAGTTCGCCAAATCTCTCTTGAACGAGGGGTGCCCAGATCCGAAGCTGGCTTTTGTCCTTTCAACTCTTCTTAACTCTTCTTCAGTCTACGACGAATGATGCTCACGTAAGAATGATTCCTTGACCGTTGTTTGGGATCAGGATCTCATAAATCTTCCTTCATCAACCTCCAACTAATCCAGCCTGAAAAACCGGGTCGCTACTCCACCGCATGAGACTTGAACCCTAGGTAGTGAGCAGATGATACTTGGTTGGACTACGCGTACCCTATTTATGACATACGTGAGTATAGTCAGAAGGTTCACCAAGCACTCACCGTCGTTCTGGAACCAGAAAGGATGATTACCATTATACATGAATATATATGTACAACACTGCATGGACTTAAGGAAGGTATGGAGGTGTGTGTTTGAGTGTGACTGAACGCATGCGTGGCTGTAGGTTCAAGTACGTCTGGTGGTATTAGGAAGGTGACACGCAATCACGGGCGAGGGTAATCAAGCGTAGTCTAAGGTGACTCGAATCTGTCTTTTTCGTGTTAAATGCTCATACTAATTCTTTCCAGATAAATGTTTAAGTGGCCCCTACTGGATCGTACTAAATAAAATACCGCTAAATGAGGCGAGAATTCCAAAACCTGTCGAAGTGCAACGAGAACATTGAAGCTTGATTGCGCAAGAAACTGGACACTCGTTTGGCATCAGGCGCTAGTCCTGTGACCTGACCTGACAACCATCACAACCGAGCTCTTTGGCCCTGGGGTCCACAATCCTGAAGCAGGATACACTTCTGATTGAATAGATCCGGTTAAATGTACAACACCACAATAGAATGATCCAATTTAACACACGGTGGAGAAACCGGTGTACCGCAGTCAAGTTGTGGTGGGCTTAATGTTTTGGGTCATCAAGACGCCTAGATCTCTAAAACGAAAATAACCGTAAAAGGACCCTTATCAGTATCGAAATTAACAGTTTATTCTTCAAAAGATAATTTTTATGCTACTGAGGTGTTTTGCGTTTTTTCATATTATTGTACATATTTGATGCTTATTTCATGTGACCTTGAAACGGGCAAGCTTTCGATTATGCGACACAGAATGATATGGAGTCCATCGTAGCAAGGCTCGCTGTATATAATGTCGCTGGTTTTCTGAGATGCATCAAGTAGGACTATTTTTTTTGCGAATAATCATCGAAAAGTTCCCACTGGTTTGTAATTGTCATCAGCCTGGGTTGCGTGTTAGTTGCTTTTTTATATTACATAAGCACTGAACGCACGCCACAGCCCATTCTGATTCAAGATCGGACTGCAAACGAAAAACATGGAGGGGAAGAGATAAAAACTTTTATCAGTGATTGGCTGAGGCTCTACAAGTTATCCCCTCTTCAGGTATGCCAGCTTTGGATAGATCCTGTGAATAGTATCCTGTCCCGGAATAATGTAAGTGAATGAAGTTTAAATAATGGGTTTCAAGGGCTCTCTCATTCTCCATGTGCATTCCATTGAAGTTGAGGATGTTACCTCTGTTTCGCCCCTCAAATTCCTCGGGGGTTCAATGCTGGAAAAACCTGTAGGCTTTCACTTCCTCTGATGACTTTTCAGTGTTTTCAAGTTGCTGTAAAAATACCAATGTTAAAGATTCATTGTGAAAGTAGAAGAACTGACGTTAATACACGAAACAATGTAACGATGAACCTATGTGATTTTTCCGTTATGGTAATTTGCTTGATTGTCTTATCTCACTCCCACAGGTTTTGTGCAGTTTGGATCACGTTTCATCCAGACTGCTCAAAGTTCACGCAAACGCTATATGTGAACCAAAATTCACTATTAGTTCTGTATTGCCTGAGGAATATGTAAATACGCGTTAGTTATCACTGCATTTAATTACAGAAATATTCATCGCACCAACTGGCAGATGCAATACGAGCAGCTTGCATAGATTGGGATCCAAATCAGCCCGTTATTTCACCCTCTGTAGAAGATAAACCTCAAGAGAAACGAAGAGTATCAGTTGAATCTCATTTAAGCTCCACATCCTCTAAGAATAATGGAGAGTTGTCCAAGGTGAGTGTGTAGTTTTGTTAAGAGTATAATCAAACATTGCCTTCCGCATTCTATGTAGCTTTTTAAATGCGCTATTTATTGATTTAGTTCTTTGCAAACATCCATTTCGTTTTTAAGTTGCCTAAGCTCAAAACTATCCAGCACAATCAAGATACTGCGTGCAGTAGCAATCAAAACCTGATCGGAGAGAGGATATTTTCACGTGGGTAATACAACGGAGAAAAATTAAACGAACCCGAAATTTGTCCTTTTATTCCCCATTAATTTTGTGCCTTTCATTTTCATCATATTCCATCAAAATGCAAATTGTCTTTTAATTTCCAAAGTAAGTTATAGTGATGATGAGAAAACCTTTCCAAACAATCATCTTTACTGGTCCCCGCTTCGTAGAACAAGAAATAAAAGTCAAATCAAATAGGATATTTTTTTGGAAAAGTTATAATAATTGAAACACCCCTTCTGTTGACTTCAACAAAGTATTGTCTTTTATTTTACTTACTGCTTTGTCCGTACCTTGCTGAAATAGTCCTCACCAATCTCTGCAATATTTTAAAATCTTTGAAACAAGCCTTTCACAGAATGGTTTCTTTGAACTGCATTCTGATTACAATGTCTGATTACACAAATAATTTTACTCATCGAAAACTAGCTCATTAATGTAAATTGACTCAATAATTTTTTTCTCTTATTTCAATTGGTATTCAAAGACAAGGAATGATAAAACGTATTAGGTCTCCGTAACACTGGTTTCACCCGGTCTATTGCTAATCACAAAAGAGTATTCAACAAAGATGCCTGCAAAACATTTCGAACCTATTACTTCGTATTTTTTGCTGTGACCAATCAAATGGATAACTGAAACCAGTTACAGACCAAGCACCATTACGTCTTTCTATCCCTCAATCTCTTATCCAACGATTTTCTTTTGTCTAATTCAGCTTTATTCTCTCAAATGGCATAAGATCTCCACCGAGAATGCTACCTATATGAGTGAAAATGAACTAAGTATCTCTATTGTTCCTCAAATAATTCGAATTGCCTTACCTGAAATTTGCTGAAAGTAGTAAAAGGACTCCAGTTTCTTACCTCCTAGAAAATCGATCAAATTTTGTCGTTACGTCTTTGGCCGTGTATATCTGTCGTTACAGGTTTGTTTTTCATGATACTATCCGGCCGACACCCGGAAAATCTATATGAATCATGCGCTTTAACAAACGTTTTGTACGCTTTTGGTTACCCTGAAATGTTTTTTGATGTCCAATGAGAGTTCATGATTTTAGAAGTCATGTAAATTGCTACTATAAAAAGCTCGCCGAGTTGTTCAAAACTTTTGATGTGATGTCTATCGGATTATTGTTGTAAGCCCACTTGAAAACCACCCCGTTGTGCTTCTCGATAATAATTCCAAGCTACCAAACGTGACAGCTTCTGCACGCCTGTGTCATAATCCTGCCACTTTTCAGAGATTAATAAAACGTTCAACGTCTGAAAAGTTATCTTCCCTTATGAAATTAATTTGTGATAAAAAATATAAATGCTTGAAAATACGGTCCGGTAAAACTGTTTTCGTAAGCAGTGCTTCGTTGGTAATATTCGAAGGTAGGGGGAAAACAAAATTTTATACACATTATAGGACTTAAAAGATAACGCATTTCTAGACAATATACACCACTCTTTCAAAAGTGTTTCGTACTTCGGAATAGGCAGAATAAAATCAATTAAAAATTTGATACATTCATTTTTATAAAAAAGCAATGCAAATGAAATGGCCAAAGAAATGACCAAGTACCAGATTATTGAAATTCCTATTACTTTATCTGGTTTTTCTTTTCTTTTTATGCTAACAGTGATCTTTTACTTCAAAAAGACCTTTGAGGAATCAAAAGGCCAATTGACTTGTTTCTTTACATAAAGAACAGAAGCGCGTAAAAGCCAAATTTTATTCTCAACTACGATATTTACAGAATTGCTCATATATATTTGGATTTGTTTACATCCTGGTTGCAAGTAGCATAAGTTTGTACTTCTTACGTATGTCATATACACTGTAGGTGATGGCTTTATCGGTACCT